AGGAAGGAAATAATAAAGATCAGAGCAGAAATAAATAATAAACTAAAGAAATAGAATGTATCAATGAAACCAGGAGCTGGTTCTTTGAAAAGATCAACAAAATTGATAAACCTCTAGCTAGACTCATCAAAAAAAAAAAAAAAGAAGAAGAAGAAGAAGAAGAAGAAGAAGAAGAAGAAGAAGAAGAAAGAGAGAAAGTTAATGAGAGGATTCAAATAAACAAAATCACTAAGAGGAGAAATACCACAGAAAGGCAAACAATTGTAAGAGAATATTATGAAAATCTATATGTCAATAAACTGGACAACTTAGAAGAAATGGATAAATTCCTAGAAATATTTAACCTACTAAAATGAAAGCACGAAGAAATAGAAAATTTCAACAGACCAATTACCAGCAATGAAATTCATTCAGTAATCCAAAAACTCCCAGCAAACATAAGACTAGGACCAGACACCTTCACAGGCCAATTCTACCAAACATTTAATGAAGAATTAACACCTATTCTACTCAAACCATTCAAAAAAAAAAATAGAAGAGGAAGGAAAGCTTCCAAATTCATTTTTTTTTTAAATGTTTTATTCATTTCTAGGAGAGAGAGAGAGAGAGAGTGAGCAGGGGAGGGTCAGAGAGAAAGGGAGTCACAGACTGAAAGTGGCTCCAGGCTCTGAGCTGGCAGTCAGCACAGAGCCTGACGTGGGGCTCGAACCCACGAACCGCGAGATCATGACCTAAGTGAAAGTCAGACGCTTAACCGACTAAGCCACCCAGGCGCCCCCCAAATTCATTCTATGAAGGCAGTATCACCCTGATACCAAAAGAAGATAAAGACATCACAAAAAAAGAGAACTACAGGCCAGTAACTCTCATGAATATAGATGCAAAAATCCTCAACAAAATATTAGCAAATCAAATCCAACAACACATTAAAAAAAATTATTTGCCATGATCAAGTGGGACTTATTCCCAGGATGCAAGGATGGTTCACTATTCACAAAATAGTGTGATATATCACATCAACAAAAGAAAGGATAAAAACCATATGATCATTTCAACAGATGCAGGAAAAGCATTTGAGAAAGTACAACAGCCATTCATGATTAAAAAAATAAATAAAACAACACCCTGCGAAGTAAGTCTAGAAGGAACATACCTAAACATAATAAAGGCTTATATGAAAAACCCATAGCCAACATCATACTCAATGGTGAAAAACTGAGAGCTTTTCTCCTTAAGTCAGAAATAAGACAAAGATGTATAATCTCACCACTTTTATTCAACATAGAACTGGAAGTCATAGTGGTAGCAATTAAACAACATAAAAGGAAAACCCAACATAAAGAAATAAAAGGCGTCCAAACTGGTAAGGAAGAAGTAAAACTTAGTATTTACAGATGATGTGATAAAATATATATAGAAAAGTCTGATGACTCCACCAAAAAACTACTAGAACTTATATGTGAATTCAGTAAGTTGTAAGATACAAAATCAACATACAGAAATCTGTTGCACTTCTATACACTAATAATGAAGCAGCAGAAAAATTAAGAAAATAATCTCATTCACAGTTGCACCAAAAATGATAAAATATCTACAAATGAACTTAACCAAAGAAGACCTGAAATCTGAAAATTATAAAGCAAATGACAGAAATAAAGACAACACTAAGAAATGGAAAGACATTACATGCTCCTAGGTTTTGAGAACAAGTGTCGTTGTGAGAACAAGACCCAAAGCAATCTACGGACTTAATTCAACCTCTGTCAAATACCAAGAGCATTTTTCACAAAACTAGAACAATCCTAAAATTTGTATGGAATCACAAAAGACCCCAAACAGCCAAAGCAATCCTGAAAAAGAGAAACAAAACCAAGGTTATCACAATTCCAGACTTCAAGTTATATTACAATGCAGAAACAATTAAAATAGTACTGACATAAAAACAGACATACAGATCAATGGAGTAGAACAGAAAACCCAGAAATAAACCCATAACTTTATGGTCAATCAACCTTCGACAAAGCAGGAAAGAATATCCAATGAGGAAAAAGAACATCTCTTCAACAAATGGTGTTAGGAAAACTGGACAACTACATGCAAAAGAGTGAAACTGGACCACTTTCTTACACCATGCACTTAACTTAATGCACAAAACTTAAAATGAATTAAAGACTTAAATGTGAGACCTGAAAATTGAAAACAGAGCACACAGCAACATCTTTCTAGACAAGTCTCCTGAGGCAAGGGAAATAAAAGCAATAAATAAACCATTGGGACTACCTCAAAATGTGAAGTTTCTGCACAGTGACAGAAACAATCAGCCAAACTAAAAGGCAACCTATGAATGGGAGAAGATATCTGCAAATGACACAACTGATAAAGGGCTACTATCCAAAATGTATAAGGTACTGATACAACTTAACACAAAAACAACAAATAATCCAATTAAAAAATGGGCAGAAGACATAACAGACATTTCTCCAAAGATGACATCCAGACGGCCAGATATCACCTCAAACCTGTCAGAATGGCTAAAATCAAAAACACAAGAAACAAGTGTTTGGCGAGGACTTGGAGATAAAGGAAGCCTCCTGCACTGTTAGTGGGAATGCAAACTGGAGCAGCCACTGTGGAAAACAGTATGCAGGTTCCTCAAAAAATTAAAAATAGAACTACACTACAATCCAGCAATTGGATATTTACCCCTAAAATACAAAAACATTGCATACATGCATCCTGTATTTATTAGAGTGTCATTTACAATAGCCAAGCTATGGAAGCAATCTAAATGTCTACTGACTGATGAATGGATAAGGAAGATATGGTATAAACATACAATGGAATATTATTCAGCCATAAAAAAAGAACAAAATATCGCCATTTGGATAAATGGCAACGTGGATAGAGCTAGAGAGTACAATGCTAAGTGAAATAAATCAGAGAGTGTCAAATACCGTATGATCTCACTTGTACGTGGAATTTAAGAAACAAAACAAAGGAGGCATTCCAAGTGAATTCATAGGTTAAAAAGTTAGCTTTCCTTTTTGGTTAAAAAAAAAAAAAAAGGGTTTGGTTTCTCTAAAATAAAACATACCAATTTAGGACAACTGTTACCTGCATCCTTCTCTCTCAGAAGACAAGAAGAACAAAGTTTAAATTACTATTTGAGAATATTGACAATTCTAGGTTCAAACAGAATTAACTCTGCTTATTTGTACTAAAAACATACTAATTTTTCACTTACGATTAGTACTCTTTAACAAGAAATAATACTTTTCATTCAACAAATGCTTAATGAAATACTACTATGAAGTTGAGCACTGTGCTGATATGTTACAGGGAATACAGCTTTTTATAGAGTTAAATAGGGTCCCTCTCCTCAGGCAACTTTATTAAAATCTCCAACAACAGAAGAGAACTTTTATACGGCTTATACTTTTTACTTTGAAAATGAATGCACCTACATGCTACAATATTTTAAATTTGAAATGCTTTTCTTTTATATACACACAAACACATAGTGGGGGAGTTTAAAGACAAATTTTGCAAGGAGGATACATCAGCATTTCCACGATAAATAATCTCTACTCTTTTGTTATAAGCATTCTGATCAAATAGCTGATAATTATATTTTTACTCAACTATACATGATTATAAAATATTAAGTACATCCCCCCAAAAAACGTACTGGAAGTAAAATCAGTCATGGGGTCTTTTAGCCAAATCATCATCTAAATTATCTACACAGATGTCATAACATAGGAATGAGTGTATTTTAGTCAATTCTCCAGGATGAAACAGGATTATAGCTAGGACAGCTAATGTACCTTTAGAGAAAACACTTTTATACCAATGTAAATAAATATAAGCAACAATGCTGTTATTCAAAGCTCTTTAAAAGCTTTGGTCTGTGATCAGAAAACATTTCTTTAACAGACCTTTGAACGAATACAACTTCCGTGGATGAAAAATCTCATTGAATATACTGCAGAACTTCATACTCACTATCCTAATAACTGTATTTCTAGAAACATACTAAAGGAAAAGAATGCCCATTTTCTATCCATCAAGTTGGCTGAAACAGTAAGTCTGATAAAACCAGAAGTTGGGGAAGATGTGAAAGAAGAGGAACATTTTTGGTAGTGACATATATTCCTCATCACTTCAGAGAGCCATTTGGAGATTACATAGCTAAAGATCCTACAATACTACCTCTAAGTGTTCAAGTACTTAAAAGACAAATGTCAGGAAAAATGTACAAAAAACCACAGCATTCAAAAGGTGAATGAAAAAACTGGCTTATTCTGATAAAAATATGAACCAGATTTAGAAGATCAGCCTAAATATTGTAAAACCACCTGGCTGAGTAAAAACTGAAAGTTTCTGAAAAAAATCAAAACCACAAACAGCAATAAATAAAAGTTTATGGATACATGTATATTAAGCGCACTAAAACATGAAGCAGAACAACACAAATTATTCCCTGGGGGATGATTTCTATTGTATCCATTGTTATCTCTTCAAATAAGTTATTTGAAGAAAACAAAAACAACTGATTACTACTGTTGATGAGTATGTAGATGTAGATGTTTTATACTCTGATTATAAATGTTTTAGGGCATGTGGCTGGCTCAGTTGGAAGAACGTGTGGCTTTTGATCTCAGCATGGTGAGTTCAAGCTCCACTCTGGTGTAGATTATTTAAAGTTAAAAAAATAAAATGCTTCAAAATTAAATACAAGTTTATTTACTCATTTATTTACTTACTTCTTTATTTATTTATTATCATTTCCACCACTGGAATAATCATACGTCTACTCATGCTGCTCCTAGGATGGAAGAGGACCATGATGCATATATATACACCTCCCTCTCAAGGAGTCCAGACACCAGAGACCTGCCCCAGCACTCACAAACAGAAGCATTCCAGTGCACACAATCCCAGATGATACACTGTCCCCACAGCTCAAGCTGACTTCAGACACCTGAGTATTTCCCCTGACGAGGTGCACCATTCTTAGAGGTACTGCAATACCAGGTCAATGTGTGGAGTAGATGGAGCAAGCTCCACCATCTTCCTGCTTCAAAAATTCACTTACTATATTATCCTGGGACAAAGGATGCATTGGATATTAAACTGATACGAACAGATACTACACTTGATCTTAGCCAAAAGGCCAAAAAGTGATAAAAAAAAAAATTTATCTTAAAATGAAATTCAAAACATGGATAAAAGCTGTCAACAAGTATATTCATCAAAGACAAATATTAAGGGAAAAAATGGGGAAAAGAGGGGAAGGGGAGGGCAATTAAATATCCTACAAGAAAAAAACCTAAGTAAACTGGGGTGTCTTTTATGTCCATCTGGATTACAATGCAGGTGCTGTAAATTATTCCTAAAGCATTTAATGCATGGGAAATGCCAGTGATAAAACTTTAAATTAAAGAAGCAAAACTAAATCATGCATACAATAATGGCTATAAAAACACACACACACAGGTGAGAAAATATATGAAAAATTTAAACTGCAGTCATTTCTGTGTGGTAGGACAGGGTTGTTTTTTTTACTTTCTTCTTTATACATCTTTAAATGTTGCATATTTCCATTAATATTATTAATGAAAGAGGAAAACAAGAGAAGGCAAACTACAAACTCAAAATCCTCTGGTAAAAATTTACTTCCCAATTAAACTGATAAGATTCTGTTTTACTTCTGATTCTAAAAATATTGAACTATGTTAACATAGTCCATATAACATAAAAATATGGACTATATCTAACATATTGGACTATGTTAACAAAGATAAATCTCTTTAAATATTAATATTGACAACTATATAAGCCAAAAGAATTATGTCATTAACTATACAGCTGTAACTTTCTACTTCAAAGTTTCTAAAGATATATTTAATCTCCCCTATTTCTAGCACTGTCACATCAAAATATATGATCCCTTCATCTATGCATTAGATAAGTTTTCATATGGAAAATCTTGTATCAAGTCTTAACTTATATAATAAAATAAGCATGTGTAAATTAACAATTTGGCTGTAAGAAATGACACAAATAGGACAGCATGCAGTGTTCACATAACATTCCATGGCAAGTGAAAAATCAACAATACTGTTGAGAGAAATTAAAGATCTAAATAAATGGGCAGATATACCATACTAATGAACTGGAAGATGGAATATAATTACATGTCAATTGTCTCCATACTGAGCTAAGTATTCACTATGTAATTATAGCCAATATCCCAATATCTGATTCTAAAATTTAGATGGAAAAGCAAATGACCTAGAATAGCCAAAACAATCTGGAAAAAGAACCTGAGGTAAACTACTTGCCTTCAAGACTTACTATAAGGCTAAATAATCAAGACAGTGTAGTAATGGCAAAAGAATTGAGAATTACATCAATGTAACAGAACGGACAGTCCAGAAATAGGTTCATTCTTACAATGTCAAATGATATTCAACAAGGATGTCAAAGTAGGTAAGTTGAAAAGGAAATGTTTTATTTTGTTTTTGTGCCATTACTGAGATGATTGACAAACTCAAGTACAAAGCTTTTTTTTTAACAGATGCTGGAGCAAACATATAAATACTGAGGATGGGGAAGCCTCCACTTTTTTATCACACACACCATGAATAAGTCTCAATTCAAAATGGGTCACAGGGGCGCCTGGGTGGCTCAGTCGATTATGCGTCCTACTTTGGCTCAGGTCATGATCTCACAGTTCGTGGGTTCGAGCCCCACGTAGGGCTCTGTGCTGACAGCTAATTCAGAGCCTGGAGCCTGTTTCAGATTCTGTGTCTCCCTCTCTCTCTGACCCTCCCCTACTCGTGCTGCTTCTCTCTCTCTCTCTCTCTCATAAATAAACATTAAAAAAATGTCAAAATGGGTCACAGACTGAAATGTAAAATTTAAATTATAAAAGCTCTTAGGAAAAACATGAGATATCTTTGCAACTTTGGTGTAAGTAAAGATTTATAAGGATAGAAAACACTAGACCATAAAAGTAACAATACATTGATAAAGTCCAATGTAAAAATTTCTCTTTGAAAAACACATTAAAAAAATAAACAGGCAATCCAAAGACTAAGAGAAAATATTCACAAATATATCTAATGAGGGACTTATATAAAGACTTACTACAACTTTTTTTAGTATATGTGCTGCCAAAGCAAGCACAAGACTTACTACAACTAAACAATAAAAATGAGAACCCAACTTTTTAAGTAGGCAAGAATTGTAGTCACTTCCCAAATGGCTAATATGAACCTGAAAAGTTGCTCAACATTACAGGCAATGAGGGAAATGCAAATTAAAACTAAAATGAGATACTACATATGTATTACAGTGGTTAGAAGGCAAAAGATGGACAATACCAAGTGCTGCTGAATATATGAAATGATACATAAAACGTTGGGTAAGTATGCCAGTCTCTTAAAAGATTAAAAATACACCTACCCTATATAACCCAGCATGTTCTCATAGGTATTTACTTATCAAGACAAATAAAAAGAGACTTGTACACAAATGTCATAGCAGCTTTATTAGTAAAAGCCAGATATGGAAGGAGTCCAAATATCTATCAACAGGTGAATGGATAAATAAGCAACAATATGGAACAACCTAAAGATCATTATTCTGCTTGAAAATAAGCCAGATTACACAGATAGAGAAAGAGAAAGAGACAGAAGAGAGGGAAGGAGGGAGGAAAGAGGGGGAAGGAGAGAATGGGAAGGGGAGAGGGGGGAGAGAGAGAGGCAGGGAGGGAGGGAGGGAGAGAAAGAGAGGGAGAGAACACTGAGTGATTCTGCACATAAAATTGTAAGAATACAAACTAATCTATAGTGACAGGTTGCCTTGAAACAGAGGTAAAGGGAAATATGACTTACAAAGGGGTATGAGGAAACTTTGGGGGACAATGGAAATGTTCACTCTCTGATTGCAGGGATGGTTTCATGTGTGTATGAAAACACATCAAACTGTATACCTTACTGTATAGATTACATGGAAATTATACCTCAATAAAGTAGAAGAAAAATGTTTCAAGAAACAAGCAAACCAAAAAACTTCAGAGCAGAATTAGAGTTAGGAGTCAAGGTAGTGGCTATCTATGAGGGGCAGGGGGCTTCTGGCACACTGGTAATATTCTTTTTTTCTTCTGTGTACTTGTTATGCAAGAGTATTCAAGTTGTAAAAGTGTACACTTATGATATATGTACTTTCCTGTATATTGTTCTTCAATACTAAGTTTTTTATTTATTGTCAAATGTTTATTTTTGAGAGAGACAGGCAGAAGAGAAAGAGACAGAGAATCCCAAGCAGGCTCCGCAGTGTCGCTCAGAACCTAACATGGGGCACGAACTCACGAACAGTAGATCATGAACTGAGCCAAAATCAAAAGTTGGATGCTTAACTGACTGAGCCACCCAGGCACCCCTCAATACAAAGTTTTAAAAAGAGGATATAACATCTACCTATGATCTAGCAATTTGACTCCTTTATCCAAGAGAAATGAAATATCTGTCCACAAAAAGACCTGTACAAAAATAGTCATAGCAGTTTTCTTTACAATAGTCCCAAACTGGAAATCGCCCAGGTACCCGTTAATAGGAAACTAGATAAACAATCTTTGGTGTACACTGTTTATAAAACTGAATATTACTCCACAATAAAAAGAAACAAATTACTAATACAAGCAATAACATGCATGTGTCTAAAAACATCATGCTGAGTGCAAGAATTCAGGGATAAAAGTGTGTATGCACAATCAACTAATACAAAGTTATGGAAAAGGCAAAATTTACCTGTGGTTGCAGTTGCTTCTAGGATACGGAGAAGTAGAGAGAGAGTGGGGAAAGGTAAAGGGTAGACTAATAGAAATGTTTTATATCTCACTAGAAATGTCAGGGAAAAAAATGCTCACTACGAACATGGAAAAATTATGTCTATCAAAACTAGTGAATAACTAAATTAAAGGTTTAATTGGTACCTTTAATTCACCTTGAATAATTCCCAAAAGCATAATGCAAAATCCAAACTTAAGTTTCTGAAAAAAGCCTTTAACTTCAATTTGTGGTGAAGAATGAACTTTATTTAGGTCTCACTTTGCTTTAATTTATCTATTTTTCTTCTACAAACATCATTTCCTAATTATTAGGAAAATGAGAATGTCTTGTCCCAAATGCTTTGTTTTTTTTTAGTTTGAAACAGAGAGCATGAGTGAGCAGGAACAGGAGAGAGGCAGAGAGAGAGAATCCTGAACTGACTGTGCAGAGCCCAACACGGGGTTCCATTTCAGGAATCGAGATTGTGACCTGAGCCGAAATCAAGAGTTGGATGCTTAACCAGTGAGCCACCCAGGTGCCCCATAGGTGCTTTATTTTTAAGATGGCTTCATGTAAGAATATTATACACTATGAAACGAAACTTATCTGAAAGGCCCATTAACAATAATAATTCAGTAAGATTGTATAGTGCTTTCCAAAATGGAGGTGACTGTACCCCAGGAGGTATGAGTGATGATCTAAGAAGAACATACTGGGAGCTCTTTTTATATTTAATCTGTATTATACACATATATTTTAAGTATAGTATAATGTAATAGAACATATATGTTTCCTTAACATACAAAAAGACACTGGCATCTTCATTACGGACACCAGTCAATCATACATCATATAAAGTAATCAAGTATTCTGGTACTAAGTGATTTTAAGTATTCTAAGGAGAGAGTGATAGTATCTGCTAGATACTTTTTCAGGTTTTTTTTTAATGTTTTATTTATTTTTGAGAGAGAGATAGAGACAGCATGAGCAGGGAAGGGTCAGAGAGGGAGTCACATAATCTGAAAACAGGCTTCAGGCTCTGAGCTAGCTGTCAGCATAGAACCCAACACGGGGCTCGAACCCACGAACCGTGAGATCATGACCAGAGCTGAAGTCAGACACTTAACCGACTGAGCCACTTAGGTGCCCCATGAAGCAGCTGTTTTGACCTCAACAAAAGAAAGTTGGGGACGGGAAGAAAGGTTTAATTTCAAAAGCAACTACTGCAGCAAAAGAGAAGCTGAAGCAGTAAGACTGCCAAGTGTTAAAATATTTTACTGATGTAGTTGAGGAGTGACCATAGTATTTTATATCAAACAGTTTTATTAGTTGTTTCATGGCAAAGTAT